AAGGGAGAAAAAAAAAAAGATGAATCTGGTCGATGGGGAAGAACAAGAGGCCTTTGACCTTTAGCTTCTCATGTTGCTGTCCTCTCCTGCCACGTGCATGCTGTGCAGTGGGGTTGCACGGATGCTGCAAAACCAGTCCAAGTTCTGCCGTTTTGGTCTGGAGATCCGAACGCCGTGCGTTCACAGGTCGCTATCGAATTTGTTCCTGCCCTGCACGTAAGGAAATGTGATACAAGTGGGTGTGTTAAAAAATGCCATTTGTTCAGCTTAACTACGAAACATCTAGACACGATTTTGGCAAATTTGAATCCTTTTTTTCTTTTGCTGACCACTAATGTGCTTTTCGGATGGCGAGATGACCCAAGGTGTTGGTGCGGGTGTTTCGGGGAGAGCCTCAAGCCCTTCACGATGCGAACCGTTGCCGGTTCCCTGTAACTGTGATGATTGTACAGACAACTTGCCCGTCTTCAAATGCTTGTCATTATCTCATTTCGCCAGAAATTGGTGATGACATCATTGCAGCTTTCGTTTATTAATCTTGTTTTGCTGCCAGTTTTAGTTCCCAGTTTGCATTGTTAGAGATATAAAAAGCTGGTACCTTTTTGTCTTACGTGAATGCGTGAGTAGCTGTAGAGCTAGTCAAGCTCTCCAACTACCCAACGTTGTGGTTTTTCCTCTAGGCTATTGATTAAAGTCATCTGAGACTTTTGAACAAGTTAAATGTCACATAGACTGCAGAATGATTTTGAAAACAAAGCTATGACTAGAAATTTTGCCTGCTTTGAAAAAGAAATCAAGAAACGGAGACCACTGTGAATGTGCCATATGAAGACTGATTTTGTATTTTTTTTGTTCAGCCATACAATGTACTTGGCAATCAAATGATTTTGTTTTGGGTTTTTTTTGAAAGCCACATGACTTTTATTTAGGTACCTTAATGTTAAGGAGTTAGCTATGAAATAGTTGACCATAACAAGACAAAAGGAATAAGCTGCTTGTTTCTGGGGTGCACGGAGTATTTTCCTGTGCAGTCTCTTTATGGCACAAGGAGCTGCAGTTGTGGGATCAGCTGGTCACAGGCAGCCTAGTAAAGTGTTTGCTGCTGTTCATTTTCTTTCTGTTCAGGATAAGTTTAAGTTTTTGGTCTTAAGGGTTTTAAGTCAGTGCCCCACTTCTGTGGCAGCTAGCCAACAGCAGCAGACTGTGTGTCATTTTCTGTTATTATAGGCTATAAAGTCCATAAAGTTAAAATGTCAGTGCAGTAAACTGTTTATTCTATAAAGTCTTTCTTGAACTCAAAATAGTTGATCTCTGTGATGGTTCTAATAATGGCTAAAAACAGTCTCAGAGTATGTCGAGAGTCTAATTTTAGTGAGGCTTTTCGATCCCAAGTCTGTGGCTCAGTCATCCTTTTTCTTTCTCTGTTCCTTCCACTTAGCATCAGCCCTGTTCATCAGTTCTGGTTTTGTGGCTTTTCTTTTGGGAATGTAACTACTTTTCAGTGTTATCCATGTACAAACCTCAGACTCTCCTGCAGTGAATTGATTCCAGTGTGGCTCACACACAAGTCAAAATAACATACATATTCAACTTGAACAGTACTAATTTTTTCTCCACATGGCCTGCTGATGACTTCAGTATGAGGAGTTCTTCTATTTTAATTAGATCCTAGCCTGAGCTTGTGCAGTTTCAATCTGAATCAGCTGAAACTTCTCATGAAGTCTGGGAAGTTGAGGGGCATTTGGAAGTCTGTGGGTTGGAGTTCTCCCTGTGGGATAACTTGTTCTGGCTCCAGATTAACCCCTAACTACTCTAAAAACGTGGCTTATGATCTAGATCTATCTTTAATTTTGTCCATACCATACTGCCTGAACGAAGCAAGTCAGAGCACTACATTTTAGATTTATTACCCTCATCAGTTACTTCCTAAATTAGCATGACTGCAGAAAGCCAGGCTCTCAAGGATACTATTTATGATGTCTTGTAAAGCTGACAGTATCCTAAATTTATGATGAGGTTGTGGGATCTTTCTTTGACACACATCTCTTAGTCTTGAATTCTGAAGTCT